TTGCATGGCCTGAGTGAGTAAATCGTAAAAACGAAAACTGCTAACCCTAGAATATGTCCACAAGACCTATGAACCATAAATAGTAAGTGTCACGTGCAACGTAAACTGTCACGTGACCATGAAGCGCTGAAACCGTAACATAACCTCAGATGCATGCGTATGAGTGGCATTGGAGTCTGGCAAAGGATTCTCTTGATCTGGAAACTCCTCTCAACAGTTTAACATGTCAGTATGGTCATTCTTTTCATTGCCCCTTGCTCACATACAGTGCCACAGTACGTCCGGATATGCATGCCCTCCTTAAAGCTGGTCGCTGGGCACTCATCCCGATGTGCAGTGCCATTGAAGCCATTTTTGATATGTCCGAACACAATTACGCATGCACTGCCGATAACCAGCATCACAGTGTCTTTCCGGTATGTTGACTGTATGTCTTTGAACAGCACATGATTTCATTCAAGACAATCTAGCTTTGTGGTGATGCCCTCTACGAGTACGAATTGGTTCCTATTGCATTGAAGACCCCACTGTACAGCCACACGCCCGAATCTTCCCGCCATTTTGACTGTCTATTCCACAATTTTCCCCGTGTCCTCTCCCATGCACATCCCTATTTCATTATCCTCCACTTCGTCGACATGACTTTCAGTGTCCCCTTTATGGTATCAAGGCCATGTCCTCCAATCACGGATGAAGTGCGGAACAATTTAGCTTTGATTGTCCTTATTTGGGAGACTAGCTCTCCTACGTCATTCGTCACTCCCCGAACTCCACGTCGCTCTCGATCTGAAGCCAGTTTAGATGATGATGATGATAGGAGGAGGAGATTCCCCCCTTGAAGCGGCAGAAGTGTTCGGACGGATCTCCAAATGTGAATTCTGGTGGCAAGGCGTCGCAGATCTCACGCAAGTCACCTTATACAGTAAGACATCATGTATTCAATGCAGACCATCGCGCGTGCAAGACAAGTCATCTTCCGAGCCATCGCGCATCCAACGCAAACCATCTTTCAAGGCATCGCACGTTCAAGGCAAATCGCATTCCGAGGGATCGCACGTCCAATGCGAGCCGCCGTCCAAGGAATCTTCATTCCTAGTGGAGATGGCCCATATACCCATCCAGCCTGTGAATATTTCAGCCTGGCTGAGCACGATGCAATCTATGAAGGATGCACTGTCAGAAGATGAGACCAAGCAGATGGTCATCAAAGTAGCCCGGGATCCAGTGCTCGCTGCATATAGAGCTGAGCCCTGCCGGGAAGTTCAAGAGCTTCTCAGAGATGGCATAAAGCTCTCCGACATCCGTCTGTGCAGTGATTCACTCGATACTGCATACTTCAGCAGTCACGATTGGGCATGGAAGAAACACTGTCGCCTATTGTGGACACCGCGCAGTGGTGGTGGTGATCCGTGAACGTGTAGCTGTACTTTATGATCTTTTGTATTCGTCACCAAGCAATGCGTTGTTCTTCGGCAACTTGACATGCTACAATAAAGAGATATATCGATATATGACAGTCAACATATTTTCGGGCATGTGTACACTCAAAGGTACAAACTGATAATCGTACTTCCTCTCTCAGAGGCACCTTACAATTGGTCCTTTTGTCGGACATCTTCCACGATTTCAGCGCTGCTCTTTCGAGAGCGGATCCCGAGGATTTCATCGGCTTCTGGAGTGCCGGCCAGAGGTACGTCCTTTCTGAGTGAGACCTTCACCGGAGAGATGCCCTCGTTGTATGCCACAGCAAAAACGACATCCATATCTGTAGCGAGACTCTTGAGACTCGATTCACTTCAAGCACTAACAAGCACTTGTACTCACCTTCTAGAGAGCGACCAGTTGTTTCAGGGAAAAAGAAGTACACAACTGGTATAATGAAGGCATTCAAGGATGCGAATACTATTGCAACGAACCCGTTAGCTCCATGAAATGTATACCAGGAACACCACATACCAATATACGTCCGCCAGCTGATGTTGCTGAATGAAGGGCCCACGATCATGACGACAACGAAGTTGAATATCCAATTTGACGCCGTGCTGAAGGCGTTCGCAGGCGCTCGAATCCGCAAGCCGACGATTTCAGCAGGCTGATAGGACAGCGTCAGGCGCGAAGATCAATACAGATACGTGCGCATACTCACGTATAGCCAAGTCATCCCTAGCCAACCGATGGCGAAGAACGAATTGAACACGAACAGCAACACAATAGATGCTACTTGACACCCTGACGTACTGATGCTGCCTAGCACGGCGAGGAGTATCATGGTGATGGTCTGCCCAATTGCGCCGAATAACATGAGCGGTCTTCGACCCACGCGATCGATTAGTGCGATGGCAATGAGGCTAGCAAGGAAATATTCCGTGCCGTTGGCTGCGGCGACGATGCGGGATTGCACGTCATTTAGCCCGAGACGTTGGAAAAGGATCGTCTGAAAGCTATATGAGTCAAGAAAAGCCATCGTTGCCTACAGTCAATGCTCACGGCATAACTGCAAATCATCGGTTGAGTGAGTCTGTTCCGCATAGAAAATGAAGCGTGACACTTACTATGTGATAAGGTTAATGCCGGTAATCTGTTGGAAACATTGATTGATGACGCCCAAGGACGTCCGTCGGAAATTTTGTGAGCGACCGTTGGTGAAAACCTCTCGGATGGGTGACATTTCTGTTGGACCGCTGCGAGACTCGGCAGCGATGGCTTCGCGAATGCCATGATACATGACCTGGACCGATTCGCTGGTGTAATCCTTGTCCTCCAGCGCAGAAATAACCGCCAAAGCTTCCACGTCGCGACCGTGCTTGGCAAGCCAACGAGGTGACTCCGGTAACTGGAGGCGAACATCGTCGTCAGATATGAAAGTGCTACTTCAAAAGCATTATTTACCATCATAATGCCCCCAATCATGATTAATGCCAGAACGATCTGCAGAGAGATTGGTACTCTCCATTGTGCAGACGAGCCTGTCAACCAGTAGCTATGCATCGCAAGTCAATCGCTTGCGCGAAACCGAAACGCAGTCATAACCTACAAAGCGAAGTCGATCCACTGTGTCCGGCATGAACGGATGAGTGACACATTCTGCTATCAGTTAGGAAACAACGCACGTATCTGAAACGGAGGTAACATTAGATACAGTTCATGGGGCAAACAAGAAACTTACGAAATCATGATACCGAAGGTGATAAGACTACCTTCTATCATGATGAAACTGCCTCTTTTCGCCGCAGGGGAGCACTCCGCATGGTAGGATGGGACTGTGGAGGTCTGGTATTCACGTGTCAGATTGACTTGGAATGCGGTCGCTGGCAGTAACTCACATTCAAACCATTGCCCAAGCCCGTGACAATTCGGGCAACAATCATCTGCGCATAACTGAACGATGTCGCCTGCAAAATCGCGCCGATGATCATAATGGTTCCACCAAGAAAGATCGTTTTCCGCCGACCAAGCTTGTCTCCAAGCCATAAGTTTGACAAGGCACCGAACAGGCAGCCGATTTCCTATAGGACGCAATGATAAGCGGCAAGGTCAGAATTCTTTACAGAACGATGCAAAGCGAATAGGAACGAATGTATGGGATGCACCAATCACGTCAAGTGCTTTGCCGCATTGATGCATGTTTGCGATCACGGATATCCGACGACACTTCCATGTTATCAGCTGACGCCTGATTTCCATTCAAACATGTCACCTGATAGGCACCTTCCCTTGCGATGCAAGAGGCCCGCAGTGCACGGACGCTGGGAGCGACAATAGAGAACGCCCAGCGTGTCAGCTGGTGGGTGATGGGTAAGACACTCACGTAAATGGCCACGATGAAGCTCTGCAGTGTAGCGTGATTGGGATGGTTATCTTCTTCTACAACTTGGGGGAAGACCTTCTCAAACTGTAACGGACGTGTCAGAGCCATAATATCTTAGCCAGAGAGCTAACAAGCATGCCTGGTTGGCGGTGAGGAGGGCCGACATGACACCCTGGTCATACCTTGGCAATGTGTCAGCTTTGGAGACTGCGGTCGCAACGACACTGCACGTACCCAAATAACGTGAAACCCGTACCCGCCACGAAGGCGAGGGCAGCAGTCAATCGTCGCCCACGCAGGGTAGGCACAGCGGCGCGAATCTCGTCGTCTAAACCTGAGCCGTAAGAGAAAGAGCCTTCTCGTTGAGGCTTCTCGGGAACTAGTTCATGGCTACTCTGGCGCAGCGACGACATGATGGTGATGTACCGGATCAAGTTGGTGCAAGACAGGGAAGTCAAGGTGGAACCGCATCGCTCTTATACTCTCGGAGAATCCCTGTCTTCGCTGGCACCAACTTTCAGAGCGGCACCCTAAAGCGAGAGAGAAGGTCACAAGACGAAGGAGCGTTCTCGGACGACGGACAAGCGAAGATTGACTCCACCAGCAGATCGTTATAGATGCAAGCAGGCGGCGAGATTGCACGCATAAACCATGAAAGTCGCCCGAGAAGTCGGTCCACATGGGAGAATGGTGGGGCACCTGAGCGTTGCAGGGAGCTACAGCCAGTTGGAGCAGACCACTTCATCCCAGACGCGCACCCAAAACCGTTACACACGGCTCTGCTCCACACTACGAGGGATTTTCGGACCGTAAGCTTAGCAGCCGAGGAGGCGCAACGACTCACGGAACACAGGTGACAAAAACTAATGTCGGCATCACAATCGGCGTTGTTCGTCATAACGACTAATGAGCAAGAGATACGTTAACCCGTCGGCGACGTATCCATATGTTATTCTGAGGGCGAAGATCGTAGCGTGCAGCCCATGATCAGTCATCTGTGTGAGTTGAGTTGATAGACATCAGCATGGCCTTCCAGTCATCTGACTGCCTGCATATTGTTTCCAAGTGATGCGCAAATTTATGTACGCAGAATAAGAGAGAACTCGATTTTGGCACGACTGCAAGTGTACACGGGTGAGAATGCGTTCTAGCTAACGTAGCAAGCGTGGGAATGCACATTTTTGTGTCCGGCGGGATTTCCTAATGAGGAGCGTCGGCATTTCGCGTTGGTTGGAGTCACCAGCGCCTTCATCCGAACCCTTTTCTAACTGCATTTGAACTCTACTCGGGTCTTCGATGTCCCCGTTTTTGCACTCCTTCGTATCTCTGCCGTTGCGGCAAAGGTGAAACGAGAGTGTCATGCGCAGAAGTCTATCGTGACTCGGATCCGGAGACGAATCTGGTCTTCACTGTCGCAATGAGGCATCAAGAGACTCTCCTTCCATTTACATGCAAGATCGATGCGTGTCCTACATAAATGAGACCTGTTGTGGGTTCCGCTCTTCGAACTCGATGACCTCCAGTATTATTGGCGTTTGCCAAAAATGACCCGATCATGGATCCGGTTTGACACAAATCGACCCTTATAATTGACTCGCTCCGCGTTCGGCGCGGCGACGGTCATAGATAACCACATACATTCACGCAATGCGGACCGACCTGTTCGCTACCGGCAATTACAGCATAGGTACTGACTTTCTTCGGTATAGGGTCCGCTCAGCCTCACATGTGTGGTGCGTCTTAGGTGAGTTCATACTAAGCTCGCATGTGTGTTCTGCAAAGTCACTGGTCAACTATCACTGTTGCTAGCCTCTGAACAGCGTCGCCACACATGCTTGATGTGCGTGGAATAACACATCGCCTTCTATTGTTTATGAGTCGCAGATGCCCAGGAAAATGGTAGTGTTCCGGCTACCACAGCAAAACGCGGACCATAGAATGCTCCATCTCTCTCCACAGTTAGCGCTCACTTGTCTCCTGAGTTGTGTTTCGATCCGCAAGGTGGAAGTGCCATGTGGGAGGCAGTCATCATGATTCACCAGTATCAAGTATCTAATGGCAGTCATAGCGTCTCCCCGCCTTGCAAGACAAGGACTACAGCATCGCCACCGATACTGGGCTCTCCTTTCGAAACGTACTTGATCGGCGTGATGAGATTCGAGTTATCAAAAACGTGGCACATTGAGTCGTCTTCGTCTATCCTGATCATATGCAACATGTCTAGGGAAGGACGAGCAGACGTCAAGGGGCAGATGCTTGACGTGCAGGAGATTGAATGCCGGGGCGGTGAGATGTGTTTTGATACAGAACCACAGCCTCCTTCATGCCGCTTATCGCTAGCATCAGGTACTTGTACCGAGTCATAGCTCAACACGTTGTTTGCACGAAGACGGAACCTGTTACAACTGGATATTTCACCATATTAGGTTTAGACATCCGGTCTTCGACGACTAGAAATCTGGCCACGTCCGTTGTTCGTGTTGTCACGATATTCCACTAGTGGACTTACCAGTGGACTTGAAACAGTCTGCGGAGGCGGCCTCCATAGGTATCATCGCCGGCGCGGCAAACTTCTTTGGTCCAGGTACGTACAGCGCCAGCTGATGTTCTCCCGTGATCATGCGTTGAGCAATATACGGTCATCCTGTACAAGCCGCCACAACGTACGTTATGGAAGCTCCAACACAGACACATTAGCACCGGCATACTAAGAATCCGCGTCTTAAATGAATGAACTAGGTGTCTTGAGTGGTATGTGTTCTGCGGCACATCAGCGCAATTGTGGTCGATATCAGGTCTTCTACATCCAATGGACGAACTGGCTGTGGTCAGTTCGAATTCGGTCCGCGACAGCATGATATGAGCAAGGGCTGTTACATTCTTACGGGGTGGTTCCGAATGCTCGGGTCCCACGAGCTCTTGCAGAGCAAAATCTATCTCATCAATCAATGGTGACGCTGCCGCCCATCGAAAGGGGATGTTGACCGGGAAATAGGCCGAACAGATGTTGGTATGATATGCTGTTCCTGTTGCCCGCGGAATGCGACTGTGTCCGTGCATGTTGCCTTGTCAGCTCGTTTTACAGGCGTCAGATATCCGTGAGCGTCAAGTGCGCGATGCGCTCACAAAAACGGACCAAAAGCACGAAGTGCTTCAGCGTCAGCGTTTGAGACGTTTGAGGAGATTTTCGGATACCCTCACGTGCGATGGACACGCCACTGACGTGCACAACCAATACGACTCTATTTTTCTTTGGTATGAATCTGTACGTGTTAATGTAAGAAGAGCGATTGGATCCAGGATGATGGGCGTGAAGGGTTACGCGAGATCATCGTGGTCGCGGAGTTGGGATGTGGCAGGGGCGCCCGTTTCGAGCAACAAGGATTGCCGAAATGCGCTGCAGGACGAACGGGTGAACGCGAGGCAATCTCAGATGCGGTCGCTCTCCTAGGACGGAGCTATACCACTGCTCCGTACGTGAGACCCTGCCGTCCTGAATGATGTGTCATTTGCTTGTCAATTTCACTATTGGTTCATATCTGGAAGAGAAGCATCCTCCTTCGATCTAGCCCAGTCATCGCCGCAGGTTGTTGGCAGCGGGCAGGCATCATGGCCCGGCGGTTATAATCCCCTCACTCCCTCGCTTTTCTCCCCTCACCTCTCCCTACTCTTTTACTACCTAATCTCTTGCGTCCAGTAATAATCCATGGCGACGCCAACGGTTGCAGACCTCAATAAGCAGATGTGGTGAGCATTCGTCCTAGCACTAAGCCTCGTTGATCTCTCGCCACTGAGGCGGCAAGTCATATCATGTCGAGAGCTTACTATTTTCATGTTGCGGAAACAGGGACGAAGCTCTCACGAGGCTTCTCGGTACGTCCTATAGCGAGCCGCGTTCTAGGTAATAGAGGCCCATACGTTTGTCTGACTCAGATCTTTCCACCGTCACTATCAAAAGGAATGCCGAGTTGGAAGCTCGTGTCACAGAGCTTGAGGTGGAACTATCGGTGTGGAAGCAAGCCCATACGAATGTCCTTGAAGCGGCAGAGCGGGACAAGAAAACGCATAATGCGCGAGTCGCCACACTTAACAAACAGCTCTCCTCGGGTCTGTTCAAGGTGAGTGGTCCGAACAATCACAGTGGTCTTAGGGTTATTGAAGAAGTTCTCTCTAGAACCAGAACCCGCTTGTTCTCTGCGTAATTGACGGAGACGCTAACGTCTTCAACCCGTCCTTGATAGCAGAAGGCCACAAAGGCGGCCGTCTCGCTGCTCAGGAGCTGACCAAAGGAATCGCCGAGTTTCTTGCCCAAGAAGAGGTGCAGGTTTTCGGGAGACTCTCGTTCTGGGTCACCGTCTATCTGCATAAGCGTGGCCTTCTTAGCATGCTACAGAGTGAGAATATTTGCAGCGCCGATCAGTTCGAGGCCTTCATCACAGGCCTGAGCCAGGCTTCTCCTCGCTTCTCTATTGTGGATGTCGGACCGGGTGATGGGGCTGACGTGAAAATTAAAGGTACGTGCTCTCTGCACCTGCTTCTACGGATGTATTCAGTATCTCGTCATCTCGACCCCAGAGTATCTTCAGACGTATATCAGCCTCCCGCAGACGTTGCGGGTGTTTTTCGGTGGTAAGTGTCGCCTTAGTCTCTACAACGTCAGTAATGACGTTGTTCTTTTTTCGGCTTTAGGCGGTCAGGATGGAAGTTATGGGACCACGTTCGCTGCAATCGAGAAAGACGATTCACTCGGGAAGATTGTACTCCTGCACGGGGCCAATGGCCCTTCCGAAAACTTACAGCAACTCTCGCTACCCATTATGCAGACAGAAGGCCTCTTCATGACTAACGTTCCTGGATATGCGCAAAGGCGACCAAGTCATATACCTCTATCCGGTTTCAACAATAATGTCATGTCTGAGAGTGGGCTTATAAGCCCTCAATCTGAACCGCAATCTTCCGCTCCTTCTCCTACTTCGCGCGCCACATATGGCAAGAGACTGATTGACCCTACGAAGGTGAGTGTGAGATGCCATGGTGTACCACGACGATTGTTGACTTCGGTAAATTGTAGCCATTGCATAAGCGTGCGTCACTGTGATCTGCGTCAGGATATGAGAAAAAATAAATATAGATCACTTGGCAGAAAACCCGCCACCCTGCAATGAGCACTATCTTATGACGTGTACAAAGGGCGTAAGTCTCTTATTCATGAATTACAGCGCGTGACTGTTCATGCCAATCACATCACATAGGTCAATTGCAAATACTCGCATGATTGGCTGCTCACGTCAGAGCAGCTGGAAGTTCTCGCGAAGAATGCAAAGAAGGCCCCTTGTAACTACCTCAAGAATGGTAGGATTGCAGCTAAAACCTCACTCGCGATTATTGACTGGTCTGGCAGGCGTGGATTGTCCGTACGGAGATAGATGCTGTTGGGTGAGTTGAAACATGATCGAGTATGTCATGGTGCTTATCGCGATCATGCAGGGACATGTCTGCCCTGGCGGTGCACGATGCTTCCATCTCAGCAAGGGAAAGTGCTGGTTTAAGGGTGGTGCGTCAGTATCGATATGTGAACTCCAGCAAATACTTATCGTTCAATGCGCAGAGGATATGCATCCTCCCCTCAGTGCCCAAGATTATTAGAACGCTAAGCGAGTTTTTATTGGGACGGCCGCTCCAGTATACTTCTTGGATCGATGTCGACCCGATCAATGTTCTGTTGCTTCCTTTACACCGCTGTCTTGTTACTGCGCGCTCATACCTTCGGTGTGAAGACTGCGATTCGACTAAGGTATTTATTCTATGTTGGATATTATACTACTTGTTTTATGCCAAGCTATGCCCGGGTGTGAGCTGAGTCAAACGTTCGGGGCTGAAAATAGCATCTGTGCGAGGTTTCAGTCGGTCTCTATGGCCGCCATCATCGTATGCATTCTCCGCACTGAGGGCCTCAGTCGACTCTGCATCATGATGATGATTATCCATACCAGGACCAATTATGGGCGCTTGTGCTAACCCGGCGACGACCGTACAGCACTCGTGGGAAATCGATTACTAGCGACCTGCAAGCAATGCAGCACCGTGGTGTCGTCTCTTTCAGCCTTCTACAGCTCATCACCTCCGCCATCCTTCACCATGTCTGCGGTCAGATCGTGCTGTCCACGTCTCTCTTAAAACACCGAGCTGACATCTCACCGCAGCCGCAAGAGCACGAGGAGGATGATTTCGCGCCCACCACTACTCCCGGTGATTAGGCAGACTGACGTCGTTGCGCAACGCCGACTAACGTATTTCTTGTAGGATACAAGCCCACCGCTGCTAAGTCCGTCGACGAGTACGCGCAGCTCGACGCGGAGGATGAGAGCTTGGCGCGATGGAAGGCCAGTCTCGGGATCGTGCCGGGCGTGACCACTGGAGATGCCAGCGGACCCAAGGTGTGTCAGGCTGTGCACGTCTCTGGTTGCTTAGCGTTCAATGTCTCATTGTCAGGTAACCGTGTTGACTCTGGAACTGGCCTCACCCACGCTGCCCCCGGGGAAGAAGCTTTCGCTCGACATTCAAGACCCCGCTCAACTCGCAAATGTGAAAAAGAACCCGATTATCATCAAGGAGGGTGTGGAGTACAAGTGAGTGGCGATGTGGTTTTGAATGAACTCCTTCTGAGTCGCCGCCGCAGTGTCCGTATCACTTTCAAAGTGAACCACTCTATCATCTCGGTGAGATGGCCATTTACTCCAGTGATCAATATCAACTCAACTGCTCACTTCCTGCAGGGTGTTCGGTACATGCAGGTCGTGAAGCGTTCGGGCATGAAAGGTTGGTATTCAAAGTCCAATGTGTTCGCATTTACTGAACCATCTCGCCACAGTCGATAAGATGGAGCAAATGCTCGGGTCGTATGGCCCTCATCCCCAGGGGGAAGCATACACCAAGAACTTTGACCCAGAAGAGTCCCCTTCCGGCTTGCTTGCACGCTCTGGCACGTACAACGTCCGAAGTCGGGTTGTCGACGATGATGGAGAGGTCTACGCGGGTGAGAAGTGTCCAGATCAGTGCATCGTAGTTCTTTGCTCACTGATTGTGTATCAGACTGGGACTGGTCCTTTAAGCTGGGCAAGGAGTGGTGAAGCGTGCTCTTCGTCTGCGGGTTTCACATGGCGTCTTTCTCTCATATTTCCCTCACTACGCAAATATTCCTTTCTTTCGCATTTACTGGATGTACGGATGATCAAAGCAGAATGTCTCGAATCAATTGTGCTGAGCACACAGTCCTACCGAATAGTCACCTTAGACGTTTCGCGTTAGTCGGTGGCAGTCTCTGGTAGGTCGTCCGGGATATGATCGAATGGCAGACGCCTAGCAGACGCCGGCAGACTCCGCACCATGCACTCCTTGCTCGCCGTCCCAAGGCGGACGTATATTTTGTCTGGACTGAACGCGCACCGTCGTCTATCATGTCTCCATATTCGTAGTCTCATTCCTCTTGTCAGACTAGCTTCGACCAAGGTCACTGTCCGGCAGAATGCTACACTGTCTTCGCCGTCTACAACAGCCAAGTCTTGGGTGGAACATGTCCCGGCCAAAATCCGCCCATATCTCTACCTAACGCGAATAGACAAGCCTATTGGCACGCTCCTTCTGTTCTATCCCTGTAGTAAGTTTCAAGCCACAACAATGCACGTAGAAGACGCGTTGAGCGAGTACAGCATGGTCGATCACGATGGCATCGTATGCGCTGCAGACGCCATGGACAACGCCACTCACGTACATCAGCCTCTTTGGGATTGGGGCACTGGTGATGAGGGGGGCAGGATGCACGATCAACGATATGTGGGACAGGAAGTTGGATAAGGCTGTAGGTGAGCATCCGCGCATTGCAGTGCGGATAGCCGCGTTTATTAGGGCCACTTAGAGAGGACGAAAGAGAGGCCTCTGGCAAGGGGTGATATCAGTACAACTCAGGCAGTTGGGTTTCTTGGGTTGCAGCTAGGTGCAGGGCTGGCGGTGCTCACGCAGCTCAACTGTTACAGGTGGGTCTCCCATGTGCCGATTTGTATGTACTACATGGCGCCGACCTCTCTTGCAGCATCCTGTTAGGCGCGTCATCTCTGTCTCTTGTGACGATCTATCCCTTCATGAAACGGGTCACGTACTGGCCGCAGGCCGTCCTTGGTTAGTCGATGCATTAATTCCAAGTCGAACGTGCTCTCAACCATGCAGGTCTCACGTTCAACTGGGGAGCCCTCCTCGGTTGGTCCGCTGTGGCTGGCTCCGTTAACTGGAGCGTCGCGCTTCCTCTATATGCTGGCGGGGTCTGCTGGACGCTCGTCTATGACAGCATCTATGCCCACCAGGTGCGCGTGTCCCGCTGCGTTCCGCTCACCCAGCTCACATCCTACTCGCAATATTCGCTCTCCACAGGACAAAACCGACGACGTGCAAGTCGGCATCCGCTCCACCGCACTGCTCTTTGGCGAACACACGCGCCCCATCCTGAGCGCGCTCTCCGTGTCCTCGATGTCGCTGATCACCTACGCAGGTTACCTTAACGCGCAAGGCCCGCTGTTCTACGCGGGCACGGGGCTCGCGGCACTGCAGCTTGCACGCGTTCTGGCACGGACGGATTTTGACAACCGCCCCAGCTGCTGGGCGGGCTTCGTCGGGTGCGGGTGGTCCGGCTTTTGGATCTGGATGGGGGCATTGGCGGACTATGGGTTCATGATCTCCGGTGTCTCTTTCTGAATGCTGCTCGTGGATTGAACACGTTGGAATTCATGCTCGAGCCACGTGGATAATTCATTGTACAGAGCACATCCCAACTCCAGCATCAGGCCTCTAGTTAATCAAACGTCTGTGCTCGTCATAGTTGCCACTTTCCTGGTCCAATTCTTTACAGCGAGCCTTTGATGTGTAAACGTTAGCGTCAATGAATGCGGAGCAAGTACGCAGGCCAATCACCTCTAGCGCGAAGAGATGCGAATCATACGACTCTGGCGCAAGCCTTTGTATTGCAGTGGACAGTTGATATAGGTAGTCTTTGTTGCGTCCCGAAGGGCCTACGGATTGCCAAATGCGCTCCGCAAGGATTTCTATGGATTCAAAACCAACTGTGACGGAACCGGTTCGGTCAGCAAATGTCTTCGCCTTGAGTCAGAGGAGACATGCTCACTAAAGGACGGGTTATCATTTCGGCCGACGTAGCACTGATCGCTATGCATTGAGGGTCATTGACTGTGAGTTAAAGAGCTGCGGTACGTACATGAGCCTGCGAAAGACAAGATCAAGATCGATTGAACCTCAGCGGGGACTGTCAGCGCGCTCACTGACATTCTGCACCACCACCCGTTCCACGCCGTCTGCCAGGCTGTAAACGTCGATCTCTTCCAGCGTGTATCCGTCCTGTCGTATTGAATCTTGTTCAGACATGTTCTCATTACATCGTGATACCACACACCTTCTCACGATAATCTACGCAGCCAGTGAGGCCACGTTTGCGTCGAATAGGCTTCAGATGAGCTCAACGAGGCGCAGTCCACGCTGGATGCCTAACTCACCCAGGTAGTCCCGCACCTCGATCGCATGCAGCGGGTCTATCGTATACGCAATCCCTACACCAGCACCTCAACATCAGCGACGCAGGTAACCAAGCGGCCGCTCAAGTCATGCCGCACCCCAGACGACATCATCATCCGGAAACGGGTCCTGCAGGCATACGGCATCGCGGCGCGGCGGAGAGTAAGCGGCCGTACGGGAGGGACATGTGTGGGGATGCTCACGGAGCCAGAGAATGCATCCCAGTCTTCTTTGTGCACCAGCGTAACGACTCGTCCTGGATTCTGTGAGTATACGAGTGAGTGCGCATGCGGTCTCCCGCTCGGACAGGCTGGATGACAGACACTCACCTCCGGTGTCCCTCGATGATCATGCGACTTCTGCGCGAACCGCCGCACGTAGCCTTTCAAGTATCCTGGATCTGCATCGCAAAACATGCCATCCAGTCCACCGATCCATCGACATGGGCTCGACCTTACCTTGCGCGACGACATGCGGCGGGGGCTGCCAAACTCGATCGGTAACTCGTATGTACACGAAACGCAACGTCCGACGCACCTTGAAGATGAGGGATCCATATCCAAAGACCACGTACGGTTTCTCGCTCATAGCAGGGGTACAAGTTCAAGAACGATTCGGAATTGCATCATGCAGCAGTTGTATTCCGAAAGCACGGTGAGTCCCACGTGGCTGAACCCGGGCTATTCGTCCTCAAGCTCCCGGTCGGCAGCGAAGGCGATACATCGTTCTCGTGGCAGAATGCAGAGTTCGCGCCACACAGTAGCTGTACAGACGAGCTCATTGACTTGGAGCATCTGTCACGGTTGCTCTCGTGATCACATGAGGCTCTCACCATCTTCACACACCGTAGGAGCCGCCTCACAACGACCGGTACCCAACGTACAACGACGACACACGTCCCTCTTACCAGTATGCAAACACTCGATCTGTCTCTTCCCTGTCTCTTCCACAGCGACGACCCACTCCTGAAGGTATACAACAATCTCTGTTCTGACATCAGTATCGTACCCAGCAGCAGTAACAACAAGGCCTCTGGCGACATCAAGCAACGTCTAGCGTAAGATTATATATCGGGTTCGTCTCGTCCGCAGACGAGGGAGCGTGGGAGGTCATTAAGCGATAAATAAAGTGCCAGAACGGGGTAGGGTGAATAGGACAAGGGGCTACATTGCAGATAGTATGAAGACGTGAACGGGGACGGTAAAACAATCCCACAAGGTCGGAATCTTGAGATGGAAGCACGAGTGGTGAAAGCAGGAATCGCTGGGCGTTGGACGCTGAGCAGAACGAGCAAGCCATGGTATCATGTGAAGGTATCGTCTTCATTTTCTCCTAGCATAATTGGCCGCTCACGCCGACGGATGGAACTGCATCGCCCCATGTGTGCGACTCTTCAGCCAGCCCTTGAATCCCACTACTGCAAGCGTCCAGCAGAACGCCAGACACGTAATCGCTACCGCGACGTTCAAGAACATCATCACGTCATCACGCCCTTGGCGCATCGCCGCGATCGTCAATTCCTCCGTCGAGAACATGAACGACAGCCCGCCACATGCGAGGAAGAATGCGCCCAGTGCCTCCGTGGGCGGCCGGCTCGGCAGGATCGACCGCGGAGGAGCCATCCAGAGGAAGAAATAGGTCAGACAGCGGAACACCGCGAATGCACTCAGCAGGTATCCCCACAACATGTGAATCTGCACCTGGAACACGTACGTCTGCGCGTGTGCACTCATCGCTGCGCCCGTGATGCCGATGCAAAGGGCGGGGAAGGGGTTGAAGCTGGCGCTGTAGCTAGGCGGCTCTGCAACGGCTTCTTGTCCTTCGTTCGAAGTCGAGACGGCGGCAGTGCTGCCGCCCGCGAGCCAGCGGCGGATACGCTTGGACTCAATGCCCATTCCGACAAGACCGGCGAACCAGAACATAACGGCGATACCGATGTGCTGAACCTGCTTCGCAGTGTATGGGTCGCCGGGTTTCGCACCAAAGCGTTCCATCCAGGTATTCGTGGCGCCGTAGGCGAAGATGACGAGCGATTCAACAAACTCGGCGGAAGGAACATTTGAGAGCACGGGCCGGTTCCAGGCCCATCCAAGTGAAGAGAACGAGCCTAGGTAGCGCGCAAATGTGGCCAGGCCATAGCACCAGAAGATGCCACCCTCTGCAGGCTTCAAGTTAGCTCGAAAGAGAACAAAAGCGGGTAAGAGTTCGTACTGATCAGATGCGCAAGACAGCCGTTGATGTAATTTTGACGGCAGCCACCAGTGTACGTCACAATACCCGTAGTCACCTGCATGAAACCGGCAAAAACAAGGACGCGTTCGGACGTCGCGAACGCCACGCGGCCCATGTTCCGGAGCAGAGTGCGCTTGTTGAGGCCAGCGAGCCACGAGCCATTCGCGAGGTCCGCGAGCGTGTCGTTCGAGCGGCGCGGTGAGTGAGGACCATAGAGTGTGCGTTCAGACGCAGCTGATTGCGGATAAGACGGTTCGCGGCGATGACGGCGGACGTCGTTGGCCCATTCCGCCGTCTCTGTGTCGCCATCGTGCCCGTGTGCAGCTTCATCGACATCAAAGACTGTGCGGATCGGCTGCATGGGTCGATTGCGTCGCTCGTGCAGTGGCTCAGAGTCGGCCTCGACAGATTCGACGTCGTTGACCTTGAGCTCGGCATCATTGAGCTCCTCTTCGTCAGCTACGAGACCGGTGTACTCGGCAGACACGCCCAGGCGTCCTTCCTCGCGGCCGAGCACAATATAGCTCCATGAGGACTTGAAACCAAACTTTTCCTCGCCTTGCTGGATAGAACGGACGTAGGTAATGAGGCGAACGACCATCGCGACGACGTCAAGCGTGGAAAGTAGCACGGCGAAAGCCAGCCAGCCATAGCCTTGGCTGGCGTGCGCTGCGCCTTCGTACCTGCAAGGAAAGGAAAGCTCGGGATTCATAGGGATATCTCGGCTATGACGCGGGAACTCACATATCCGGAGTGAGCTTGCGGTAGAGCATGCTCGATCCAAGGCCCAGGACAACGAACGCATAGAAGAGAATGACGGTCAAACTATGCCATGCAGATTTCACGGAGCGAAGTGCGATGCCTGTGGCGGTAATACAGGGACATCGCGATGTAGGTACATAGGAATGAGGTGATGATCCAGCGACTTACCTGCGGGAAGAGCCCCAAAGAAAGCAAAGCCCATGAAGAGAGCGTGCGCCGCCATGAGACCAGGATAACGGTGCTCGCCGGGAACCTTGTCGACGAGGTCGATGGTCCAGTAGGAGGGGAGAGTGGGCTGGTGATGCAATGTGATTTGGGTCTCATTCAGCTCCTCGAGGGGCTTCGCGTTATGCGAATGCGAGTGTTCGTCGTGTTCATCTCTGCGAAAAAGGATCTCGTCCACTGAGGGCGAAAGGGGTGTGGACGCATCAGTGAGTGCATGAAGGTCGTTCGTCGGGGGGGCCGCGCCTACAAGGGCGGCGGCGAGGGCGGGGACGAGGAAGGGGAGGACGTGGAGGACGGCCCGCATGGCGTCTGAAGAGTGCGGGGGAGGGCTGGAAGAAGGGCAGCACGGGACTGATGAGCTTATGTATTATTTTATACGGAAGGTGTCGGATGGCGAACGTCTTGGACAGGCAGCCTCAGCGCTGCACTTCCAGCCGTCCCATCTCCTCGTCTCCTCCGGACGCTGACTCATCCTATCTGACTCATCTCCGACAATACCCTGATCCACACCCGCATTTATTTTTTATTCCCCCTTTTCTCTGTTGATCCTCGCCGCCGTTCCGCCATCGGGCATCCCGATGCAGATAGTTGCGATGATGCGGCGCGAGTGGAGCCCCCTGGGTGAGCTCATGTGGCTGAGAATGCCGGACGCCGATTGCCACGGAGAAGGACCGATCGCGTTCGTGACCTCATGTGGCCCGCCGGAATCCTTGGTTTTTCACCCGGGCACTTGCCGAGATGTTCCCACGCAGCGCTCCCGTCGCTGCGGAGTCATCACGAGCTCTCCGTCGCCCGCCCCCGTCTGCACGCTCAACGCGGCTGCCCATGACGAGCACGACGTCGCCGGTGGTGCAGAACACTCCATGGCCAGCCTCGGGCGCTCTGGTCGCTTCCAGTTCTCCGTACTCGTCCTGCCGCTGCCATCTTCGATTGCGTTCTCCGAATTGATGATGCCTTTCACCCTGATCTGAACAACACCGCCAGCTCCCATCAAATTGTTGGTGATGTCAGTCATGCATGACAAAATCGTGAACTATTGTTGAGCCTGCGCAGGCGAGGTCCAGCTCACTCGAGCCGCCGTCCCAGCCTGTCTCTCGAACTCGCTGCTCACGGCCTGTTCCTTGTCTGGTCGTCGTACCATTTGACGCTCTGATACGCGAACGTCGCAGTGCTCACACGGTGCGTAAGCCTCGCCCGGGGTTTTCCCTGATCATATGAAGTCCGAAGCTCAGCCTGCGCCGAAGTTCACAGTGACCTGAGGATCTACCTATTTCGTCCGACATCATTGCGACACACATTCGACATCTACGCGTATTCAATCCAACGCGATCATCGCGGGCTCCTTACCACCTGTCTCTACTGCCCACCTGGCCCATCGGGGAACTCTCGGCGGCACTACGCTACCCTTGCTTCGTTAGGGTCTTTCTGCTCGCTCGCTTTATTTGACTTCTGCTTCAAGCTGCTAGGAAGACAACTCCCCCAGATTGTGCTTCTTTCAATATACGCTGCTCACGTGAACTCTTCAAGCTTCCGCGCTCTTCACAGGCCAATCTTCTCCTTCTCGCTTGCATTCTCTCCATGGGACAGAACAAGACGCAGGAACCGCGAGTCATCTCCCCTTACGCGTATGAATGCATAGATCCGTGATGAACAATGCCATCAACTCCATACGACGCTCATCGAGCGCTCTCCCGTGTCAGCAGACTGCCCGATAAACCGGCTCATTTAGCCCTCGGCCCATGTTACCACTAATACAAGGACGGTGACCACACCAGGCTGAAATGGCCGCGCGCGCCAATCCACACGCTGAGAGCGTTCTGTCTCGACAGAGCTCGCCTCTCGTTTCGCGTTCGCGTTCGCGCCTGCAGGGACCAGCGCGCTCCCCTCTGCGTCTCGACATTTGTAAGTACGTCCCAGATGACAAACGTATTCGTAATTCCATCTAGGGTGCATTCCGAATGCGCTGTCTGGTAGTTTCTGTGCCGCCGAGATACGGCGACGATGTTCTGCGTGTGCCGCCTCCGAAAAATTACAATAAAGTTGTCCTTGGGTCGCCCGCAGCCGCCGTCCGGATCAGCCTCAGCCGACCTTCGACCTTCGCCCTTCGGGCTTTCTCGGACGGGCAGAAAGCTCTTGGTCTTGTTTCCGTGTTTCCTTTAAAGGACGGGCCGCGCCGTCCTCGCCGCGCGGTTGTCATCGAAACGCGTCGAGAAAGCTTGGCCGGTCATACGGCCATCAAAAGCTACCGGAGCGGGCGGGAGGAGTATTCCTGAATGCTGGGGGAGGTGTACGTGCTGGCGCGTGGGTTGTCTTGCACAAGCGTCAGCGCTTGTGTTATATCTACAGTACACCTGCTCATAATGCATAACGTCGGTGCCCAGGTTTGGCTATGCATTATGAGGTAGTATGCATTACCGGGCTGTCACATAGTGTGACATTGTGTGACTATGCGTGACTTCCCAAGGTAGGGCTATCATGTACACAAAATAGGTCTCACATTTCACCAAATTGTTACTACTTTTTTGTGACAAACCTGGTTTTGTACCCCCAAATTTGGACATAAACATAATTTATGAACATAATTACTGGACAAAAATGGTGTTATGCGTCCTGTATAACCTTCAATGCACGTGAAATTTCCTAGTTAGGCATTATTCTCACGATATCATAATGCATAATGCCGTGTTTTGGGTATGCATTATGTGGTATGAGATCTCATGCATAATTTGGTGGGCACCAACTTCGTGCCTACATGGAGCTATGTATTATGAGGTGTTATGCACTATGAGGGAATGCATTATGAGCAGGTGTAGCGTATCTACTTGTTTGCTGCTGTCGATTTTGATATGTATGAGATATGGGATATCTGCCTACTCATCAATGGCACATGATATAAGAACACTGCCTGTGATTGCATGTGAAAACAGCTGCACTGTCTGGGCACTGGTCACGTATGTCCTTGGGCAGCGGAAGGACAATGAAGCGAGATCACTCGCATCATTCACATCTGACTAACCATGCGCTGATCTCGTACCCAAACCTCTTTTTCTGCGAAAAAGAGGTCTGGGGCATTCTAATAGGGACACTTCCCCTTCCGCTAAGCACCCTTTAAGTGCCCAGTTGTAACGGTCACAGAGTGCTTCCTGTGCTTTAGCCAGATTCACTTGTTCGATGAGATGCCTTTTTAGATAGTTACTCACGCCAGTGCATGTTGCTTCGGTGGCGAGCCACTGAAGAAAATGTACTGTACTTGCTTGAAACATATCTCATTATCCTTGACACAAATGAATTCAAGACAATATCCATATTCACATAGACAATTATTCTCGAAAGACGAAGATTCCCTAGATGACAGCCGCAGTCTACAACAAGATGATGGCTATAGGTACAGAAGTTCAGATGATGAATCTTAAGGCAGTGACAAAGCCGAGAAACATGATGGCTTTGTTGCCAATCCATTAGGCCTCCAGACAGAGGAGGTTCCCATCCCAGACCTAAAGATCAATAATGATGGTGCCACAGAGCTTGACGAGGCCATAGACAACCCGGCAAAAGCACTCAGTGCCATATGTGATGCAGTGCTTGACATTCTCAATTGCATTCAAGGACATGGCATGACCTTGGCATCATTCCTTGATGCATTTAGCTGAGGTGATCCAGACTGCATCAAGCATCCATGAATTCAGAGAATTTGTACTCAATTTCTCCATAGCAACCTCCTTTCAGTTATACTGAAACGTTGGCGCAAGCCTCCACACTCACAAAATTCACACAAGTCACTGCCAGAGAGTGCAAAAGACCTGATTGATAGATTCACACTGGAGGCTGTACAAGAGATCTCCACTGCTGAACTATTATGCCTGGATCCACTGCTTTGGTCTACGAGCGACTCACTCAGTAAACGGAACCTGTCATCGGTCAGAATGGATCAACTTGAGGCAGAAATGTGGGATCGTGCTCCTGTGACATGGATGTACCTCGCTAGTCTCGCAACAAGTTCCAAGCAGCAAAAAGTCAATCGAAAAAAGAACTCTAATAAGGTTAGTGAGTGCCACTGTAACGTCGTTCAATGTCATCACCAAGATAGCTCATTGTTATCCATAGATGCTTATGCTTATCATATGCATAATATCATATTCCCGATCACAGTACTGCAATCGACTGCAGCAGCTCCTCGCAATCTACTTCAAATTCAAGGGCTTGTCTGTGAAGGGTTGCGACACATTGCATGCCCTGGGAGTCATGATGAGTGCAAAGTGGACCACCGATGCAGTAGAGCAGCTGTCAGCAGAAGCTATGCAAGAGGTTCAAGACTGAGTTCGTGCTCACCAATACAATCTCTCCTACGACAACATTCAACTCTCATTTCGTGTCTTCTCACAGCATCTGGACAAAAAAACTCAATTTAATTCTGATACAGCTGCAACTATCTATATCTGCAAAGACACACCTCCAAGGGATCCTGGGCTCATAAACGAGCTGCAGATATCACATCAAAGTGTAACGAACAACCCGATAAGTGCTCTGGATGTCGTCGATCTCATACAGCATTTCTACCCATCCATTGAGGAACACATGGGCTTCTATATGCTTCGTGTCCTTCTAAATTTCTCTAAATTTAATCGTACTTTATACCATGGATGGGATAGCCCTCATCTACACCCTCCAGCAACCGTCAATCAACTTCCATGTGGCTCTGAGCACGGTGATATGCACCGAGATATTCTGTGATTGAAAAATGCCAGAAACTGCGGCCGACTATCGCACAATCAGATAGTGAGTCACCACGATCCGGAAAGACAAACACCGAGCCAGAACAGTCTAGAGTGGGCAAAGAAGACTTTACTGACAGCCTGGAAACACAGAACCGTGTGAAGGGGTCAGAAGGTGAACGTGAGGTGCAGAGCCACGAGAAAGCGTAGCCGATTACAAGGTGCAGTGCAAGAGCAGAACACGACCAGTTAGGCAACTCGGAAACGAGCAAGCATGCTAATTGAACTGAAGATAGGGTAGCAGACCAACAGACCCTGACAGGGCCGGACTTTCAGTTCTCCGACTGTATGATATGGAAAGGGGGGCAGGGATGAGCTTTGCAACAGGTTTCAATGGATCGGAAACGTGTTTCAGCAACTCAGCTGGCTCATTTCTGATCCACTATATAATCTACACTATACATAGGAATAAGAGGAGAGTTTTACACTGTCACAGATTTTCACGTTTTCACCTCTGCACGTGAACAAGACATCATTTGACATCAGCGCTAGGCTGTTCAGAAAGGAACGAACCAGTACGCGAAGTACTAACAGTCCTAGATGCCCTGAAGGTCTAGGTCTAGTCACATGACATATCACGTGATATCCACACATGTGACAAGTAGCGCTGGTATTAGGTAAGCCTAACTTATACAGTAATATCATCCCACCTAGAAGCAACGATCGGACTCCAGAAGAATCCAACGAAGGGGATACACGCCACCGGAGATATGTCCTTAAGGGGATATTAGTTCACATGCACGAGATAGATAGATACCACGCCACCGGAGATGTAGCCATTACAGGCAATACCATTCCCATGATCTTACTAAGTAGTTCGGAGGTTCGGCATGCATGACACACGTAGTCTGACAGGTAGTGGTAACCAATCAGACAATGTCCATTAGCTAGTGGTTCTGGGGTATCAGGGTACCAAGGGTCCCTCCGCTCATGTATATAAGCCAGAGCTCTGAGACGTCTAAGTCCCCCAGACTTATTCTCATCTCTGCTACGCCTATCCATATAGTGTCATCAGCGACCACTTGCAAGTCGCTGCTTTACCTTGATTATCTTTGTGTCCATACTTACGTTGACAACAGTCAGTAAGTGTTTGATCATAAGGTCATAGGCTTAGTCGGCGCTCTGCGTCCTAAGTTTGTGATAGAAGAATAAGTCTGCTTATCTTACCTGCCTCGAGTGCCTGCCCAGCGTACTCGCCGCAGTGTTGCGTCTTCGCACGTCCACCCGCACGTTAGCGGTGTCATATCTTCATCTGACGTTTCGTCAGTCGCTGACTCTACCAGCGTAAGCCGCACCAAGGCATTGCACAGCATCGACAGTGTCATCCGTCGTCCTCGAGCGAGAACTCCAGAAGAGTTCTACGAACAGCGGCCCATAAGACCCCTGCCAAGGCCAGGACACATCTCTACGGGAGGTCGGCCCCCTCGCGGCACTAGTTCAGTTTCTATTATCCAGACTTCCTTGGTCAGGTGACCGAGACTACCTGCAGGACCATCGGGTCCAGAGCTCAATCAAGGGACATACGTCGAGACCGCTACTCTCGCCATCTCCATCATCTCGACTCAGCGCGTCGAAGGCACTCTTCGACGAATTTGTATTCTACTCACCAAACGATACCGTCGTCAGCTTGACGACCACGACATCCTCGATCTCGAGCATCTCATACTCAAGCTCGAATCCATCTGCACTGACATCACAGAATTTAAGCTTCCCTTCATTCACCAACATGTAGTCCGTGACTTCTGCAACTACGTCCAGGAGAGGAAGCATCAGGGCGGAGAAGCTCGCTGGTTAATCAGAGATATTATCCAGAAGTATCGTCTAGGAATACAGGTCACAGGGTGACCTTTGCTGTAGATACGAATATTTACTTTGTATATGTCTTCATCTGGCGATTCGAACAATCTTGATAACTTTGAGCAACTCAATCCAATCGGTCACGCCTTCGATTATCTGTGGGATTCAATTTCACGTGCTCTTCGAGACAGAGCAGGCGAAGCGTTTGCTACATACGAGGACACATTTGACATCGATTACCACGATGTATATCACATATACGCCCTCCAAATCTATCCAGAATTTGATTGGAGGAACGTCGCAGTTCATATCTGCTATATCCCTATTGGATCTGAAGAACCCGAAGACCGTCTCACCGAAGCTTACAATAGCTTCGTCGATTGGCTCGAAGAAGTCGAGCGTATTTGCGAAATTCATCATAACCACCAGTGGCCCGCAGTCAGGGACAAAACCAGGTTTTTGTGGCAACCCTTCGTCAAGGTCATCCATCGAGACCTTTGGTTGTTGCGAAACCAACGCTCAGGACGAGTAATTGCCCGACAGGCCACGATCGCCAATAGCCATATCGTCGAGTTCGAAGAACATCTTCGTGAGATAGAGGAAGAATTGTAAGATGACGACTCCCACCCCAAATGATCCAAGTTCTCTCGTGCTCCATCTCCGAAGCTTCCCGCATGACTCAATATTGTATTGCAACCCCCGAATCCAATAATTCGTCAAGCCCTCACCGACATGGCACCCCCAAATGTGAATATACCCGAAAATGTAAAAAATTGGGTAGTCGATCTCGTCACAAACGTGGTGGAAGAAATGCGTCAACAAACGGTGGCGCATTACGAAAATCTTATCCAGCGCCAAGCGCATACAATGGAACGTAACACCACGGAGTTTCATAATCGAACGGTCTTCTTAGACCAACATCGCCAACAATCTGAGTCTAGAATTGCAGACTTGGAAAAAACCTCGGCAGCTTTAGCTGAGGATAACAAGGTCATTAACGAATCGTTGGTGGCATTTGACGATGAAGTCAAGGATCTCCAAACCAGGATGGAAGACCTGAAGAAATCACATGATCGACTTCGCGCATGGGCATCTACACAGGGAAGGAAAGCAGGGCAAGGCGGTAACAATGTCGACGACATGGACGACGACGATGAGCCGTCGTTTGGTTGCAAGGGTAAAGGCGTAAAAATTGACCAACCAGAAAAATATGGTGGCAATAAGGACGGAGTTAATCTCGATGATTGGCTCGAACAAGTCATGCTCTGGTTGAAATATACTGGACATACCAAAGACGAGTCCAAAATTATGTCTACCCTCTTGCTCCTGAAAGGAGGAGCACGCGAATACATGCGACATTGGATTACTGAAATAAACGAAAACAATAAGGCACCAGGAACTTGGGCGGAGTTCGTCGCTGAACTTCGCACGGCATATGAATCATTGGACAAGGACGACAAGAAGCGAACGGAGTTAGAAGCCTTCGTCAAGAAGGATCATCGAGACTTCCGAAAGTTCGCAGAAGACTTCCGTCCAAAGGCAACCGGTACAGGCTTCTCGGATCAAGATCTGATCGAAAAGATCAAGAAACATATTCCGGAGAAAACGTGGCTGCTCATGCTAGCGGATACCACTAAGGATAACTGGCCCAAGAAGTGGACCGAGTTCCTTACATTCGCACTCCGGATATTTATATCACTACAATGAGAAGGACACCATGCCAAGGCCGAAACCAAGGACCTGAACGCTATGGAGGTTGATGCAGTTGGGAAGAAGGGAAAGAGTAAATCGGGCAAAGCGCGAAGCGTGCAAGATGACAAGTTGGTTTGCGCCAACTGCAAGAAGAACAAGCTGACGTTCTTCAAATCGTCGAAATGCTTCAGCAAGTATTGCACCGATTGTTTCAAATTGGACCATGTCAAGAAGCAGATTGAGAAGGAAAGACACAGCTGCGAAGAAGAAGGACGGGAAGAAGAAGGATGATGCCAGGAATAAATCCAAGTCATCCAAGACGCGACAGATGGTGTCTGATTCTGCTTCATCAGATGCAGAGAGCGAAAGCTCTGACACCGAAGAAGAGAAGAAGCCAAAGAAAAAGAGCTCTTCCTCTAAGACTAAGGGGAAGGGTAAGGAGACAGCTGCGCATATCAGCGACCGCAGCATCCACTCGGAAAGCGAGCCTGATGCATCCGAGTCGGACGAAGATTTCGCCGCGATCCTCTCAAGGCTCAGGCGCCTGAGGGCGAATGGATCCAGTTCATCAAGGAAGGCGGGAGAGGGCTCTTCAAGGAAGGATCGGAAGAGTTTTCTCAAAGGGGATCTGTAGGCAGCTCGTCAGAGTCCCCAGAACATTATATAAGACCTGTACATTTAGCACCCGAATCAGACACCTCTGTAGATCGTCGCAATGCAGAGGATGATAATGTAACAATAAAGAATTCGTCTCCAAATTTATCATCATTCTATTTACCAGTTACATTATGGGTGTACGGCAAAAAATCGAGCGCCGAAGCTTTAGTCGACTCAGGAGCATATTCCATGTACATCAGCAAGCGGTTCGTAAAGAACAATCGAATTGCAACCTCCAAGCTTAATACTACATACAAGGTGTACAATGCTGACGGATCCCAAAACAAACATGGAGAAATAACCGACTATGTAAAAGCATACCTCAAAGTCGGAGATCATGGTTCTACCCATCGTCTGCTAGTCACAGACATCGGGAAATTAGACATGATCATTGGGATGTCATACTTACGTCAGCATAATCCAGAAATCAACTGGCAAGCTGGAGAATGGAAATACTCACGATGCCAGAGTACGTGTCACCACCAGAGGCTTCATAAAAAACAACAAGCCATTGCGAGAGAGGAAGCTGAAGAAATCTTGCAACGAGCACAACAAGTGGCAGATGAGGAGCCAACTGCATTCCGAATGTTTAATGGACACAACATTGATGCAGTAAATCCTATCATCTCGTGGGTCGAAATGGACGA